TCGAAAGATACATGATCGCCTAAACGTGTATCACGCATGGCAAATAACTGACTGATTATACATATGTGCACATTATACATAAATACTTACCTGGCTTATGTCAGAGGGTATCCCCCAGACGAGGCTCTGCCGAACTCTGTTTTTACGTGGAGAATTTTTGCCCGAGCCTACGGGCTCGGATATGCCACTTTAAACTCGGCCTTGTGCCACATCTTGCTGCGTGGGGCAGCGAGCAAATAATTATACACAAATAATTACAGTATGACGGACGTTATCTTTAATTCCTTTATTCGATCACGTGTTAATGAGTCGTGTGCTCAGAACTGATTTCCGATTTTGTGATATAATCAAATAATATCGTCACATAATCATCATTTCAATTGGGAAGTCCTATTTCTCTCTCTCTCTCTCTCTCTCTCTCTCTCTCTCTCTCACACACACACACACACACACACACACACACAGAGAAAGGCATACACACATTCACACATAGACACACACACACACCGTCTCTATATTTCTCTCTTCCACACTCTGTCTTTACCTCTTTATGAAACTCTCCCCCCTCTCTCTCTCTCTCTCTCTCTCTCTCTGCTTGTAACTCCTTCTTTATCGCTCACACTTTCTCTTTCTATTTCCAACTCTTTTTTTTCTCTCGCTCAGGCTTTCTCTCTTCTCACTGTATCTTTCTTTCGCTCTAAATCTCTCTTTCTCTCTCTCTCACTCTTTATTTCTCTTCCACTTACTCTCTGCCAATATTTTTTCTCTATCTCTCTCTACCTACCTTTGTTTCCCTCCCTCTGTTTTATTTTTGTCTTTCTGTCTCTGTGTAGCTTTGTCTGCATCACTCTGCCACTCACTCTCTTTCTATGTCTCTTTTTCTTCAGTCTTCAAATTCTCATTTAACAGTTGAATACAATCTAAAACTCTCCATAATATCAAAATGTCCGATGTTTTTTGTTTCTTTCTTTCTTTCTTTCTTTCTTTCTTTCTTTCTTTCTTTCTTTCTTTCTTCTTCCTCTTCTTTCTTACATTTTACAAACCCTTTCTCAATACTTTTACGCCTTTGTGCTCATCGATCGACGATATGAAAAAAAAAGAAATGTAAAAATCCATAGTAATTTTTTCGCTTAGTTTTGTCTTTTCTTTTAATAAAATATTTTTCACTGGGATCTCCTTAAAATGTTTAAGGCGTTTCTTTTTCCTTTCCGTTATACGTTGACTGAATGACTCTCTCTCTCTCTCTCTCTCTCTCTCTCTCTCTCTCTCTCTCTCTCTCTCTCTCTCTCCAAGGAAAATCGTTTCACATTCACGAGAAGAACAATTAATTTAATCTATTAAAGAACAAAAATATTCTTAGACACGCCTAAATCTAACCTTTTATACTTCTTCCTTTTGCGTAAATTAATAGACTTCTACTATCTCTCTCTCTCTCTCTCTCTCTTTCGATAAACTTCCTCTGATATTATCTTCCTCCAAATTTTCTTCTTCTGTCTACAATATTTATTTTTCTCTTTCTCTAACTATCCCGATTTATATCGCATCCAGTATATTCCTCTGTTTGTCTTCCGCTCCTCCCCCACCCCCAATGTTTTTTTATGCATGTTTGTTTCTTCTTATATATCTATATATATGAACGGCAAATTCTGTCTGTCCGTCCGCGTGTCTGAAACCCCTCTAACTCGGCACACACTTGCTCTACATAGACATATTAGACTTTTTTGGAATTAGGATGATCCCGAGATTAAAAATCTGCCCTTAATCTAATGCTTAAACACGCAGCATTGGGATTTGTATCCGGATGACTAGGAAACAGTTAAAAATTCAACGAATTCTATACTAAAACCATTACTACGCAAAAAAAAAAGAATTGCGTACAAAATATTTAGATTTCGGCATTAAATAACCCATAGAGGTGTTGATATGCCGCTAAACAAAAACAACCAACCAAAAGACGTCCACTTTGAGTTTCCTTCCAGCCCTGGATTAGGTGAATTCTAGTATTAACAAATTAATTCTATATTAGGGCTACAGCCGTAGAGCAATATTTTGTGGCTGAGACTAAAATACAGAGAGAATAAAATCTGGGCGCGTTGAGTTACTAAGAGGAATTAACTGAAATTGAGATATCCAAAGGCATGGCACGTGGAATTAGTACAATATACCCCGTAGACTAAATAAAAGATTCGGTTCGAAATTCCAACAAATATCACCTGACGGAGGCCAGAGCGTACAACAGCTGAAACGTCGGGAATATGCATACACACACAGAGTGGGATGGGTAAATTGTCGCCATTTTATAATTTTAATTTCGCACATGCGCGTTGTTTTTTTGTTTTTTTCGGTGGTGGGGGGTCTCGACTGCACAGTATATTTTGTTTCCTCTGCTGTGGCCAGGTATTGAACTCACAACTCTTTTGGAACACTCAACCAACACTTTTATCCACTGGGCCAAAGAGTTCTGATTTCGAAACCTAGCCACTACAGAGGGAACAAAAACTTGAGAGTTGAGTTACTAAGGGGAATTAACTGAAACTGAGATATCCAAAGGCATGTAACGTGGAATTAGTACAAACCCCGTGGACTAAATAAAGGTTTCGGTTCGAAATTCCAACAAATATCACCTGACGAAAGCCGGGGCGTACAACGACCGAAACGTCGTTAATAAGGCAATAACGATGAGGACAACAGTCCGAACAATATAAATAGTGTAAATCAGAATTTTCCTCTGATTAGCTGACACCTCAGGGTTAGAGAGCTCAGTATGTCTTGTTATTAACCCATAACTGTTGGAGAGATTGATTCATGCTTTTCCCAAGAGTGAAAGTGATCGTAACGAAATCGGACGTAATTCGAACTCGACCCGCCGAATCATTTCTCCGGATTGCTAGCCAGATTAGACATTCATTTGACACTTTGTGCGACTAGTACATGTTTCAAGTCATTGCACAGAATGATACTAAGTCTCGAAAACTACTACTATCGAGATGAATCATCACCTGGTGCTCAGTTAAAATGACCCTCTGCCAGACTAAACTCAACTTAAGTAGATATGATTCCCCTCATTTTTTCTTCTACTCTTTTCTTTCTCGATAACTTATCACCCTCTTTTTCTGAAACACCATTTTCTCTCCCCCATCTCCGCCTCACTATCTCTCGCTAACTCTTTCTTTGTATTCCAATTTCTACCTCTCTTTGACTTTTCCCGCTTGTGGAACAATGCACCTTCCGTCAAGTCAAGAAATATAGTGCCCACGTTTCCATGTTGTTCGTGACAGCTTTCATTCTCTGCAGGTTATTCGAATCTGACCGCCTCCGATTGATTATCGATCATTTTTCCAATCTTTATAATTTGTGTTAACGTAATCCAATTATATTTTATTAAAGGAAAAATTATTTGTCAAGTCTTAATTATGATGGAGAGGAAGAATTATATTGCAATATATATATATATATATATATATATATATATATATATATATATATATTTAAAAGAGTGATGAAATTTTATTTATTAATCCGACAGATTTTATTACTTAAACGTTATTTTCAGTGCATACCCATATTTAAGTAAACGCCCCGTTTATTTATTAAACAGTATATTTATTTATTTTCGTCTACCGGCTTGAATATTCGGAAAATCTTAATAAAGAAAAATATGCATTTTCCGTCAGGATTCGAACATGCAACACGCTTGGCAGTGTTTGGTTATAAATAGCTAGCTTCTATAGAATATGCAAGCAGAAGACCACCACACCGGATACAGCGCCTCACCTGGGATCATAATGTCGCTAATTGAACCCTGGAGAGATGGTCAAGTGTGATCCAATTAGTCATGTTTCCAGTCTGAGGCTTTGATTGTAGCGAAGACCCCACGAGGCCATGGACTTTAATTGTCAAGAAGGCACTATAAAGGCCGGTGGTAGTTTCATAATGATGTACAGAGTCACATGTATCATGGGTTAGTTCCACAGGTTCACCTAAATAGTGTACTAACTGATGACCGTTATATTTCACTCGTTCGCGACTATTTGCACGCGTTTATAGACTGCAGGTAATGCAGAAGCCATGGTTTTTCCCGATCTTGTCTTGAAGCCAGAACATTGCGATCGATCGCTTCTCCATATCAAGTGTTAACCCTTTTATGTGTTAACACAAATCTTAGTTTGTAAACATTTTTCGATATTACTGTTGCTTTGCCTTGCATATGTTCTTTGCTTGCTTAATATTATTTTTTGACCTGTTCCTTTCTTTTCTTTCTCTTGTCACTTTTTATAGCAATCTTTGTCAATTCTGTTTGTTGGACTTCCTGCCAATTATATTTAACAATGGCCACTCACACTACAATATAATGCTTCAAACGTTACTTTTACTGGATACCCGTAGTGGAGTAGAATCTTCGTTTATTAACAGTATTTTATTTCATTTACTGGCTTACAAATAAAAATTCAGTTTGGCCTTTATAAATGACGCCATCTTGTGTAACTTGAAATTAACCAATAACAGTTACAAAAGTAGACAAAAAATAAAATCTTTGAAAACAAATGTAGCAACATTCGAATGTACTCGGGAAAATAAATAAAATAAAAAAAAAGAATTTTGGTAAATTTACCGATTATATAAAACAACTAATTCGGAAATTGTTAAAAGTTAATTTAGAAATGGATAAACAGTATATTATTAATCAACAAAACATGTTAGAAATAATTCTTGCTATCTAAATACACCTTATCATATCATATATATATATATATATATATATATTTGCGTGTGTGTGTTGTGAATTCTTATTAAGGGGATTATTCGGTCAACAATTTACATTAATCTAACATTAGACCCCAGCCACAAAAATAATATATATAATAATTTCTTATGTTAAATTGGGTCATGAAGCTGTTTAATAGATCCCGAGGGATTAAAATAACGTTTAAAGTACTGATTCCACGCACTTCTTCGTCAAAGGAATTTGATGTGTATTTTGGGGGAGAAATCTTTTAGTGTTAAAATTCAGTATGAAGAATTCTAAATGATAACACCTTAGATAGATAGATAGATAGATAGATAGATAGATAGATAGATAGATAGATAGAATTACTTTTAATGAGGTGCATAGGAAGAGAAACCAGCTATCTTCATTTACCCATTATAGGCATTAGTATATCCGTGATATACTAACACCTTAACACATGACGGATTCGAATAGCTGAAAAAAATGAATGCCAAATATGCATTATGCGCAAAATGATTTCATATACAGATATTCCATACAATAAATTTTATACAAATATTACTATACCTGTCACTGTTTGTCACGTAGTGAGAAACTATAACACATGTTGATAAAACAAGGAGTGTGAAAAGGAAAAAATCGAGATGTTCTTAATTGAAATATTTCTCGAAGGGAAACGGCTAGGTCGGTGGTAATTTTTATGTTCCATTTTGGGACTACGTGGTTTCCACACCTTCTTCTTAACGCCGCGGACAATCATGTCTATCTTCTTCGCGGTATCTACAAATCAACTGATGTTCGTCACACGACACGCGACTTTTAGCAACCGCCATACCACGTACACAGTGTAGACTTATCTTCATTTTCTTCATACTCCATTGATAAAATCTCAGACCGCTTCTTTCACAGAAATGTTCCTTTGTGGAACATACTCCCGTAAGGATGTTTCTTTAATCACTACGATCTCAACTGCTTCAAGTTTCGAGTCAGCCGTTATTTTTAATATTCTAATAATATGCACTTCTTAATTCTTTCCTTTACGCCCTTTCAACAACCTTATTCGGTAACACTCTACTTTGGCTATCTCTTGGACTTTGTATTGACTGAACAATCTTTAAAAAAACGCTGACAGGAGAGATGAGTTCAACCTCCATAAAATAAGAACCGTTTTGCCAGCCAGCAGCAGACCTCCAGGTCACCGCGACGAGGAATGAACCTTGTCTGTCACTTGTAGCAACCGTTCCGTCTTCATGTTGAAGCAGATGAATAAATCAGAATGATTTCTTCAACTGTTTTACGCCTTCGTAATTTTTCAACAACTGGGTCACTTTTCAATGAAGCCACTTTTTTTTTTTGCATCCAACCACAACGACCACCCGAAAAACAACATCTAATATCCAAACACGTGATAGTCCAAGGGGCAACGCATGTTTAAAAGAAAACAAAAAAATAAAGGACACATGCATTTAGAATCAGAATGAGTTATGTGTCCAGATAGAAAAAAGGCTTGGTGAATTTAGCACACACGTGACATATTGAAGGCAGAGGAAAGCAATGATCAACCGGCCGAATGAGTTTGAGTAAATAAATATCAGAATAGGGAGTGGGGTGAATAGTAAGTGTACAAACATTACTTAAAGCTACAAAGTATAGGAGGTTGTGAAGAGTCATTATCAACCAAGCCCTGAAGGGATACGACACAAAGAAAAGGAGAAGTCTAAAAAGGAACGCAATAACTTTAGAACGTAGCTAATAATAAAAAAAATTATGAATTATAGACGCAATAAATGCTTTTGTTTCTTCTGGCCATAAAACTGTTTTAATAAAGATTTCTTCATATTCGAAAAAGAAAACTTCGTTCGTTTATATATGGCCCTTTGATTAGTGCCGCCAGCTACTGACAATAATTTCTATTTAAGGTATTTGCTGATGTCATCGTTGAAAAACTCATAATAACGAGATAGCAAAAGCAGAATACAGGGTAGTAGCGGGAGGGGGACATGAAGGAATAACTATTGCAGCGAACTGACGGACATCGAAAAGAAAAAAATAGGAAGCTCGATCAGATGCCTTGTATGTTTCTATAAGGATACAATTTTCTATTGTCTGAATCGACCACTTCGGTTTTGTTCTTATTGCCTTCCCATGGCGTAAAGAAAAAAAAATACGATTTCTTTTCAGAAAAATATTGTCATTACGGTACGTCATGAATTGATGATCGCTTTTCGATGCGTCTTCGTCAACAGGAAAGAAAGCGCAAAAAAAAATGAAATAAAGAAAACGAGAAAGGAAAAAAGTTAGAGAAAAAGGAAAAGATGATAGAGAAGAAAAAAAAACAATAAATGAAAAAGAAAACGAGAGAAAGAAGAAAAAGTAAAAAAGAAAAAGTAAAAAGAAAAGTGAGATAACAGAAAAAGATGAAAATGAAAAAGAGAGAAAGAAGGAAAAGAAAAGAGAAAAGTGAGAGATGAGAAGAACAGATCGAAAAGAAAAAAGAGAGGGAGAAGAAAAAGAAAAAAATGAAAAGTGAGAAGAAAAAATAAAAAAGTGTGACGTAAGAGAAAAAGATGAAAAAGAGATGGGGAGAAAGACGAAAAAGAAAAAGGAAAAGTGAGATATAAGTGAAAAAGATGAAAAAGAAAAAAGAGAGAAAGACAAACAGTAAAAAGAAAAGTAAGAGATAAAGAAGAAAGCAGAAAAAGAAAAAAGGAAATTAAGAGAAAAAAGATGAAAAAGAAAAAGGGAAAAGAATGAAAAGAAAAAAGAAAAGTAAGAGTTACGAGAAAAAGATGAAAAAGTAAGACGGAGAAAAAGAAAAAGAAAAGTAAGGAATAAGAGAAAAAGATGAAAAAGGAAGAAAGAAGTAAAAGAAAAATAAGAGTTACGAGAAAAAGAAAATGAAAGAAAGAAAGAAAAGAAAAATGAAAAGTCAGAAGAAAAAGAAATGTTGACGTGAGAGAAAAAGGATGAAAAGGAAAAGCGAGAGAAAAAAAAGGGAAAAGAAGACTGTCGACTGTAATCGTGATCATCGAGTCAATGAAAACGATGTACTTCATCCGGGCTACATACGGTTTTGAATTCAGAGTCTTCCTTCTCCTAGACCGGTTGCCATCCAAGGCTATAGAACCTAGTCTGGCCTGATATTTTGCCATAGATTGGGGAAGAAGACTTGGATTTATACCTTTCACAACGGTATTAGCACGTAAATGAATATAATGAACTCAAGTGGAATTCGAAATCGGCTCTCGGATTCCTCAATCTGAGTCGCAATCCATTCCTCAAGAAGAAAAAATGAAAAGAAAAACGAAAAAGAAGAAAAAGAAAAACAGTAAAAGGAGACAAACAGAAAAAGAGGATCCAAAAAAAGAGAAAATGAAAAAAAAAGGAAGAAAATGGGAAAAGAAGTAAAACAGAAGCAAAAGGAAAGAAAGAAAGGAAGTCAAAAGAGAAAAGAATAGAAAAAAAGAGAAAAGAAGAAAAAGAAAAACGAAGTAAAATGAAAGGAAAGGAAAGGAAACTAAAAAAAAAAAAAAAAAAGAATTTTCAAAACCTGAAAGAGTGATGACGTCAGAAAAATACAACAATTTTAATCAATGATTTGCAAATCGTTCAACCGAAAAATAATCTATACATAATCTATAGGCCTATAACTTAGTCACAGTCTTATTATTTTACACACGTAAACACATTATTTTTTTTATTTTATTTTACAGTAAGGCCCGGGGGTTACTCGAGGTAGAAGGTTACGTTAACGGGTAGTTTAAATGCATAGGAAGGGTAGCTAATGGGTAACTCTAGACTTGAACAGGTTAAGATTGTAGTGATCGCGAAAACATCTTGGGAGTCTGTTCCACGAAGCAGCGGTTAGCGAGAAGAAGCGGTTTGAGTGGAACTTCTCGTCAATGGAATACGAAAGGAATATGGGTGGTTTGCTACAATGTAAGTGGACTGACGGGTCCTAGCCGTGAAAGATAGATATGGCGGAACCAAGAAATGTAGTTCGTCGTAGCACTTTCCATGGAATAAATATAGAACAGTGAGAGACTCGCCGCATTCCTCCTGTGAGAGAGAGGTTGAGTGGGGGGGGGGGAATAATTGTTCTCCCACATGAAATCTGAGACACTTTTGAACTCTATCATGACAGGAAAGTGAGGACTGGGCAGTTCCCACCCAAATATGTCAACAGTACTCAATCTTAGGCCTGATCTTGCTCTTATAAAGTAAAGGATAGCATGAAGTACAGGGAGCCGGTCGTTTTACCTGCATCTTTAGCAAGGGGTCGTATTCCACTTGAGATCGTCTGTTACTTTGAGGCCCGATATTCTCACAAGGCACAGTGCCTCCTTGAGATTGGCGGGGGGGGGGTAATCCGTTCATGGTTGGCGATGGATTTGACATGGTTTCAACATAAACATATTGTTATTATTTCTAAATTATCTTGTGCTGCTGCTGCTGCTTCTTCTTCTTCTTATTATTATTATTATTATCGCATCGCCCTTCAGAGCGTGAGCGATTATAGCTCTACACAATTTACTGTTATTTATAACTTTTTGTCGTTTTCTAATCTCTCTTAAAACTTGCTCTGACAGCCATTAAATCAAGCTCGCTAGTTATCAGTTGTTTTCCTCTATCCATTCTTGCCTTCAGTCTGTCCTGTGAGTATCAAATTTTCAAAGTCCTCTTTGCTCATTATATGCTCTAGAAATTTCAGCAGCCTCTTCCTGATGTTAAGTATAAGTTTCCATTTTGCTTCCATTTTCTCTAAAACTTCGTCGTTGTTCACATGTTCGGTCCATGGTATTCTCGACATCCTTCTGCAGAACAACATTTCAATTGCTTCAAGTCTTTTCTTCATCTGTGAGGAGATAGTCCAGCATTCACTGCCGTATAGAATGATTGATATTATATAATTTTTTTTTATCACGATCCCAGTCATGAATTGTGTAAACATCGTAGGGGCAGTGCACCTTAAGTAGCAGTGGGTGTGTCTAAGGCAGCGTTTCTCAACAGGTGAGCCCGGGGCGCACTAATGAAAGGTAGGTAGGTGCGCCACAAGTTATCAGAAGTGTAATTTAGGAATTATTTTTATATTTTAAAAACTCTTTATTTTTAAAAAGCTACACACACCGATTACATGGCTTCCATTTCTAAGTCAAGACTTTGTTATTTGATATTTTAAACTGGATGCTAAATTCCTTAATCCCCCCTAAAGAGTGTATAATCCTTTCCCTTTTGCCTTCCTCAAATCATCTGTCTCTCTAAAAAAAACAAAAATAACTGATTCTTCATAAATCTCTGTAAATGTTAATTCTGCCGCTAATCTTCTTTAGGAATGCTAAACCCAAATTTCATATTTTCAAATTTCAAGACTAATTTTTCCTTATTAAAATTTAAAGTGCACCCCAGAGTTTTAGTTATTCCACAAGTGCGCTCTGAAATCAAAACAAGTGTTGAGAAACACTGGCATAAGGCAAGATCAACGGTAAATATTACGGAGCCCATCCCTCTTCAGACTGGTTTTAAATTTCCAGTTGTCCTTTTCTAAGACTTATTGCTTTCCTAAGGCTAAAGAGCCCAGTCTACCCTTTTGTTTTTTTTTTTGTTTTTTTTTACTAAAGTTTGAATTCAAAGTTTTTTCTTCTACTAGACTGACTACCACCCAAGGAAAGAGGGTCTAGACTGCAGTACTATTTAACCCATAACCCGAGATAGATGAATTCGTGCCTTGTTCAGAGGTATTAAAGAGAAATGAACGAAAAAGACCCGATTAGAATTTGAACTCGGCACGCCGATTTCACTTTTCACGCCGACAAACGTTACGCAACCCTGGCATTATATTCTTTGTTATAAAGTGCTAAATTAACACTCAAGAAATAACTATGTATGTGCGACAGCGTATCTGCAAGTTTATTTGATGATGCAGAGTTAGGCTATAAATTTTGATTTTAAATTACCATTGTATAAACAAAATTATCTATAATTTACGATTTATAGATTTAATATTCACTACTAAATTGATAATGATTGGTTTGGTTTGGTTTGGTTTGATTTGGTTTGGTTTGATTTGGTTTGGTTTGGTTTGGTTTGATTTGGTTTGGTTTGGTTTGATTTGGTTTGGTTTGATTTGGTTTGGTTTGGTTTGATTTGGTTTGGTTTGGTTTGATTTGGTTTGGTTTGATTTGGTTTGGTTTGGTTTGGTTTACGGAATATCAACCTCAATGGGTTATTTAATGCCGACAAAATCTTTATTGGTGCTAAGATTTTGTTTTGTCAAAAATCTATTTCTGGTAATATTTTTCCTTCAAAATAGTATTGCTGGTAATATTTTTTTCAAAAAAGTATTGCTGGTAATATTTTTTCTCAAAAATGTATAGCTGGTAATATTTTTTTTAAAACATTGTTGATAATATTTATTTTTTAAAAACATTGTTGGTAATATTTTTCAAAAATGTATTGCCGGTAATATTTTTTTTCTCTTCCAAAATTTATTCCTGGTAATAATTTTTTACAAAGTATTTCTGGTATTAAATTTAAAACTATTTTTACACTTTCATAATGTTTTGATCCCAGTTTAGGTCCTAACTATTTGCCCATAGCTGGGACCCTAACAGGTGCTACCACCCTGGGTCAGGGTAGACCTGGGAACATCAGAAATTAAGAGGTGATTCCACGCTCCTCAAAACCTCCTGATCCGATGCCTTGCTGCTGGACGTAGTTTATCATCTTACCCAGGACGCGTATGTAGCTTATCGTCATACCCAAGACGTAAATTGATAATGAAAGTAATTCGGTCAGAAATATAAACGATTTTTCATCATTAAACTTTGAAGTTATTAATATGCTTTTGAATGCATTTTGTTATACTAACTTTCCTCTGGTGAAATGTACCTGCCAAAATTTGACCACATGGTCAAATATCAGAAGGACTTTCCATAATCTCTTTGGTGTTCTATACCCAAAAAGATTATGGAAAGGATATACATGATCAACGGTAAATATTACGGGCGAAATCGACTCAGTTGTTAGTCCATTCAAATGTGGCAACTGCGTGAATTACTTTTTCGATTGGAATTTCTGGTGAAACTAATTGAAAAATGATTGCGTTTTATAGAAATTCACTTTTTTGCCATAACTCGTTGAATTCCAAGTGAAAATTTTCAGCATATTACTTTCGCCATTAAAAAGAAAATGGACGAAAATAAAGGCATCTGTCTCCCATCGATTATTTTCATTTCATTTCCCATTATATTTTCTGCGCGGAAACATTTCCATGGGCAAGATGCTTTGCAAAAGGAGCATTGGACCAATATATATATATATATATATATATATATATATATATATATATATATATATATATATATATATATTGATAGATATGAAAGAATTAATGGAATTAGATAGATAGATAGATAGATAGATAGATAGATAGATAGATAGATAGATAGATAGATATGAAAGAATGAATGGAATCAGATAGATAGATAGATAGATAGATAGATAGATAGATAGATAGATAGATAGATATGAAAGAATGAATGGAATCAGATAGATAGATAGATAGATAGATAGATAGATAGATAGATAGATAGATAGATATGAAAGAATGAATGGAATCAGATAGATAGATAGATAGATATGAACGAATGAATGGAGATAGATAGATAGATAGATAGATAGATAGATAGATATGAAAGAATATATATATATAGATAGATAGATAGATAGATAGATAGATAGATAGATAGATCTTTCAAAACTTGGTCTATCTCTCTTTAAAAAAAAGTTATCATAATAATAGATAAATACATTATGGCCCGCTTTGAAGCTGAAACAGCACTTTCTCTCTGGTGCCTGAGGTCCTTGCTCGAATCCAGATTAAAAGAAAAGTTAGGGGATCTGAATATTGATTTTTCGAAGCAGTCAACTAAGCGCTTTTCTACTCGGAAGATAATCACTGAACTGCGCAGGAAAGAAAACATTTAGAATGACCAATTTTTTTTTTTCTGTCTGATTTTCTAAAATGAGGAGAGATTATAATACTTACAGCCTCATCTTTGTTGTTGTTATCACAACGTTTCATCCGTTGAGCCTTCCTGCATGGATGTGCGGGTGGTGTAATTGATCGCAGTTCGGGATGAGAAATCGGAGAGCCGAGTTCGAATTTCAGTCGGGTTTGTTATATTCACTTACTCCCAAATATCTTTGGGAAAAGTATTAATCCACCTCCGCTGCAAGCCATGACTTAAATAGTAGCACTTGTAACTATAAAAGTCAGTTATTCTCAAAATATTGTTAATGCAATATTCACTCGCAAAAAATAAAGAATTATTCTTACATTCAAAAAAATGTTTCGATTTTAAATAACCAACCAAGGGTTGATAAACCGTAAAAACCAAAACAGTCAATCAATTATAAGCCTGCTTGCTTTGTTCATATGTCTGTCGATCTGGGTAATCTTCAGCTTAGAGGATTAAAGCATTGGATAGTGTATTTGGTAGCACAATAATTGTGAGTTCAATCCTTGATCTGGGTTGTACAGATTGAGTGGAAAGTGATCTAGCCATCACTGAGCAGTACCCTAAAAAATAAAGAACAAAACGACGTTTCCTCAGGCATGGACGGCGGAACGAGAACAATCTATCCTCGTACATTAAATAAAATGTCAAGTTTGAAATCCCTTTAAGTTTACACGGATCGACAGATACCTGAAGAAGGCCGGGAGTCACATGGGCCGAAACGTTGTGATAATAACAAAGATGAAGGCATTTGAATAAAATAAGAGGAATCTGGAGCAGTGGATGAACATGCGGTTTCGGGTAAATGTTATTAAACATGCGAGTGAAATGTTAGCTTCTATTAAAATGGCTTATAGTGAACATACTATATAGAAATCGAACGTTTTTGATTGACACTGGCGATTAAATTAAGAGTAAGATGACATGTACAATACGCAAATAGTGAGCAGCGAAAAAACAGAACAGATGCAAATCTCTCTCTTAATCACCATAGAGATCCTTCCCTGCTCCCCCATTAGAATGTCTGATAGTAAACTTCTTGAGAGCAACTCTCTGCGCCTGCTCGGTCTCACGTTGACTGCTGACCTGAGATGGAACAAATACATTGCGTCCATTGCTTCGTCCACCGCGAGGAAAGTTGGCTCTCTGTGCCGCGCCAGGAAATTTTTCTCCCCGGAATCGATACTTCAAATATACAAATCAACCATTCGCCCTTGCATGGAGTATTGCTGCCATATATGGTCCAGTGCACCTTCTGTTTACCTCGGAGTTCTTGACAAGATCCAGAGACGGATATGTAATATAATTGGCCCTGATCTGGTATCTCATCTACAGTTGCTCTCTGACAGACGCGCCGTCGCCTCTCTCTGTCTTTTTTGCAAGTACTTTCATGGTAATTGCTCCGATGAGCTGCTTTCACTGTTTCCCAGACTTCATGAATTCAAGCGCCCTACGAGGCTGGCATCCCGCTCTCACCCTTTCACCGTAGAAACTTTTAAATATAGCCGGCTCTTCTACTCCAATAGCTTCATACCTCGCACCTCTCGCTTGTGGAACACCGTTCCCTATTACTGTTTCCCTGGGGGCTATAATCTCCAACTATTCAAATGTAATGTCAATCGACATCTCCAGTTACCTTGATCTACCAACTATCCTTCTCCTCATCCTTTCTTCTATCACTCCTATCTACTCTCGCTCCAAACCTTCTGCAACCCCCTGCATCCTAGTGGCTTCACGCCTTGCTCGGGGCGTAATGCTTAAAAAAAACGTGGACAGAGTGGAAATACTAGTGTGCTCAGATCGACTGATAGCAGAACTGAATATGAATAATGAAACAGTGTAGCAGATTATAATAGAGGATATGGAATTTAGAAAAAAAATGTATGCTTTAGGAGTTTGAAAATTCTTGGTTAAGAAAGCCATTACAAAATTGGACCATTTGCATTATTCTCCATATTTAGCCTCCCGTGATTTTTGGCTATTCCCAAAACTTGAAAGAATATCCTGACATTAAACAAGTGACTACTACATTATTCAGAGAAACTAGTCCCAAGAATATTTCCATTAATGGCACCATCGTCCCACGAAGTACACAGCTTCACAAGGGGAGTGCTTTGAAGGTGACCGTTGTTATGGAATGTTCCACTCTCCTATTGTGGACTGACTATATCAGTAATATATGTAGTGTGCACAGGACTTAACAGTGTCTGTCTATCAGCCTGACTGGCTTCGGGAAGTGTTAGTCGATTCCTTGTCTTTCAGTAGTGTATTCTCTTTTACAATAAACCTCTCTTTCTTTCATCTACGCCCGTGTTGTTGTTCCTTCCACTCGAGTACCACCTTTGTCTGTTTGTAACGTTTTAAGGATACAACGGTGGCAGAAGCTAATAGTAAGCCGGCGAGCAAACATTGCATTCAAAGGCCCATTCTGGGAATTAAATTATTGCACCCCGTATATCTAAAAGCTCCTCTAAGGTATTTAGTTTCATAGATAGATAGATAGATAGATAGATGTGAACAAAATAAGATAATGAACTGAATGAGATAGATAGATAGATAGATAGATAGATAGATAGATAGATAGATAGATAGATGATGAACAAAATAAGATAATGAACTGAATGAGATAGATAGATAGATAGATGTGAACAAAATAAGATAATGAACTGAATGAGATAGATAGATAGATAGATAGATAGATAGATAGATAGATAATGGACAAAATGAGATAGAGAGAGAAAGAGAGTGTGAATTTTCTCAGAATTATGCAATTGTATGTATTTTGTTTCGTGATCGCATACATGATTCGCAAATA